CTATCTGCATTTATACTAAGTTTATTTGGTCACAAATTTTATGTGGCCAAATGTGTTGATAATTTTCTTTTATAACTTCTGCTTTTGTTTGAAAAATCTTTCCACATTAAATAATACCACTTAGCTTGTTTTTCTAAAATATGTAATGGTTGAATGTTTTCATGAAAAGCCTAAACACTTTCTGATCTGGACCTCATTTTGGTATATGTGTTATGAGATGTGTAAAGTTCACAAATTGGTATTTCCCAAAACATTGATTTAATAATCACCTTTACATTTAAGAGTTATATATTATACTCTATTACCTAATGAAGAAAATTCATTTATGGTAATTTTCTTTTGTTAGTATTTACTACTTAGCAAGCACAAGCCAGGTTGGGTACTCCTGGGATTGGATTTTAAGGGACTTAAGTGGGATGGAGTATAGGACTGGATAGGCAAGAATTCTTTGATGTGGAAGCTTTCTGTGGGGAGACAGGGTTTATCACTCAAGCAAGAACTCCAGGAGGTGGAGGAAATTTGCTGTTAGGCTCTGTATTAGAACTCGGGAGATGGCAATGTACAATGCCAAGTTAAGTGGAAATGCATCCACTGTCCTGCAATTCAGTTTGATGCACTTAACTACTGAAAGTTAGCATAGACCCCATAGGTTAAGGGGCTCAGTCCCACAGCACCACCCCCACTTCAAAATACCAGGTCCAGCTCCCAAGTCCCCAGGCTACTTGCTCTTCTGTCTGACTTGGCTACAAGTTTGGGGATTTCCATGACCATCCTTCAGGTTTGATAATTCACTAGAATGACTCAGGAAGATGCTGTATTTAGGGTTACTGATTTACTTCTAAAGGACGTAAAGGGACAACCAGATGAAGATCTACATAGGCAGCAAGGTCTGCATGCCTTCCTCAGGCATGTCACCCTCTCAGTTCATAGATGTGTTCACCAACCCAGAAGCTCTCTGAGCCTCATTTCAGAGTCTTTGTTAATAGGGTTTCATTATGCAAGCATGATTGATTAAATCATGGGCCATATGACAACTCAATTTCCAGTTTCCCTCCCTTTAACATTATGGGAGGCAAGAATTCTTTTTAACTTGGCATAGTGATTACAGATAAACCTCAAATAATGTAGAGGTAAACACTGCCAAGAGAATACTGCAAAGGAAGCATAAGGAGGGGACTTTGGAGCTGTAATGATTATTGGAATATATTTTATAAAGAAGCTAGAGTACTGGTGCAAGAAGCAAACCCCGTAGAAAACCCAGAAACAAAAAACATAGCAGAGAATTTAAAGTATGGGAAGTGATTTACACTAGGTGAGAAAACTTAATTTAGGACAAGTGAATAACCATTTTTTAAAAAGTTCTTAGGTGATATATACCATGCTCCAAAATAAGTCTTGGATTGAATAAAGATTTAATTGGGGAGAAATAAAAGTAAAGAAAGCGTAAATCTAAGGCTGGACCAAAGGGGAAGGTTATTGGAGATTTTACTAGAGAATGTTAATTCTTTTCTCATCAGTCTGCAGTTGATGACACACACTGCCACAGTCTTTGAAACCAAGAAAACTGCCTTCTATTATTGTATCCTTGGAGACCTCCTGGGGCCCAGTGTAATTTAGAAGAGGAGTAAACTGAGGGATAAGGAGATTTAGAGCTTTTTAGGGGAGTTTTGTGGGGAGGAGATGGCTTTTCTATATGGACTAGTCTTCCACCAATTTCCTGACTCAGCCACCTTTCACTGCCATTGAAGGGAACCCAACGCAGCTCTCAGGCACTGGCTGAGATTTGCCAGGCTTGGGCCCCACACGTGCTCTCTCAGCACTCTCAGCAGATGGCTCTGAGTTCCCTGCATTGTGATGCGGTCTGGCGGGGTGCATTGCTAGGCTACAGTTTACTGTTCTAACTGCTGGTTGGGTGGTGGGCTGTTGAGACCAGGGTTGGCTTATACAGCTCTAATGCTGTGTAGCGGATGGCAGCTGGGGAGCTGAGGACTCCTTAAGCCTGAGGCTCAGGCATGATGAAGCAGATTTTTGACTTCCAGGATAGGAAGGGTAGGTTGCCTAGAGGTGCCTTCGGTGTCCTGCGGAGGATAGGCACCGTGGCCGTGAATGTGGAGGAATCCTGGTACCAAATCCGAAGCAAAGATCTTGGAAAGCTCCACAGGGCTGCCAGCATGGGCGAAGTAGCCAGAGTAGAGCATATTCTATCTCTGGGGAAAAATGACTTGAATGACAAGGATAAAATGAATAGGTAAGAGGGACTAGGAGGAGGTGGGCAGACACGGGAAAGTGGCACCTTCCTGGGCTCACCTAGGGAGCTGAGCCTTTTGACTCATACCCAGGAAAACCTGGAACCTGAGAGTGTGAATAAGTTGCTTTGGCTGATGAGGGGAGAATTGCTAATGTGTTGAGACTGTTCTGTGCTCAGCATTTGTTTTAACAAAAACTGCTGGGGTGCTTATGAAGGACAAGATGACCATCAAGCATGAGAGCGAGCTTTTCTGGGGGAATCTATTTGGTACCATACAAAAGGCCTCTTAGAGGTGTAAAGAGTCTTCACAAGAGGACAGTCCAAAGTGCATCTCCAGCTTCCTTTAGACCTAAGGACAAAGAAAGGCCAGCTGAGTGTATTACATTGACTCAGGTCAAGGGAGCTGTAGGTGAGAACAGCAGTGGGTACAGAAGTGCCCCTGAGAAAAAGAATCAGTTTTTAAATAATTGCCAGATTCAAACTGCTCAAATCAGAACAGTATCAGCCAGATAAGAACTCTACTGCCCCTACAGTTATCCTAGCTGGGGGAGGAGGGATGCAATTTGGAAAGAAAGAAAAGGCCATTCCTGAGCCTGGCCTAGCTGATTAACTCTGACCCCGGCATTTTTATACTTACATGGGCTAGACATTCTGTTTCAGTGCTTTGTAAGTTAAAACAGATCTATGGACTTTTTATTACTTTAGAATAAGGTTTTCCTTTTTCTCTGTGGGTGGAAGAAAAATAGCTGGATATTTAAAAGTGTAGTAGGAGGTGATGTTGCCTGCTGATTATATCCCATGAGTGAAAAATAGTGGTTATGTATATTAACAGGTTTTTGTTGGAACATATTTTTTATTGGGACGTGTGTGTGCATATATATAACTATCTGCATTTATACTAAGTTTATTTGGTCACAAATTTTATGTGGCCAAATGTGTTGATAATTTTCTTTTATAACTTCTGCTTTTGTTTGAAAAATCTTTCCACATTAAATAATACCACTTAGCTTGTTTTTCTAAAATATGTAATGGTTGAATGTTTTCATGAAAAGCCTAAACACTTTCTGATCTGGACCTCATTTTGGTATATGTGTTATGAGATGTGTAAAGTTCACAAATTGGTATTTCCCAAAACATTGATTTAATAATCACCTTTACATTTAAGAGTTATATATTATACTCTATTACCTAATGAAGAAAATTCATTTATGGTAATTTTCTTTTGTTAGTATTTACTACTTAGCAAGCACAAGCCAGGTTGGGTACTCCTGGGATTGGATTTTAAGGGACTTAAGTGGGATGGAGTATAGGACTGGATAGGCAAGAATTCTTTGATGTGGAAGCTTTCTGTGGGGAGACAGGGTTTATCACTCAAGCAAGAACTCCAGGAGGTGGAGGAAATTTGCTGTTAGGCTCTGTATTAGAACTCGGGAGATGGCAATGTACAATGCCAAGTTAAGTGGAAATGCATCCACTGTCCTGCAATTCAGTTTGATACACTTAACTACTGAAACTTAGCATAGACCCCATAAGGTTAAGGGGCTCAGTCCCACAGCACCACCCCCACTTGAAAATACCAGGCCCAGCTACCAAGTCCCCAGGCTACTTGCTCTTCTGTCTGACTTGGCTACAAGTTTGGGGATTTCCATGACCATCCTTCAGGTTTGATAATTCACTAGAATGACTCAGGAAGATGCTATATTTAGGGTTACTGATTTACTTCAAAAGGATGTAAAGGGACAACCAGATGAAGATATACATAGGCAGCAAGGTCTGGGCAAGGTCTACATGCCTTCCCCAAGCATATCACCCTCTCAGTTCATAGATGTGTTCCCCAACCCAGAAGCTCTCTGAGCCTCATTTCAGAGTCTGTTTGTTAATGGGGTTTCATTATGCAAGCATGATTGATTAAATCATGGGCCATATGACAACTCAATTTCCAATCTCCCTCCCTTAAACATTATGGGAGGCAAGAATTCTTTTTAATTTGGCTTAGTGATTACAGATAAACCTCAAAATGTAGAGGTAAATACTGCCAAGAGAATATTGCAAAGGAATAATAAGGAGGGGACTGTGGAGCTGTAATGATTATTGGAATATATTTTATAAAGATGCTAGAGTACTGGTGCAAGAAGCAAACCCCGTAGAAAACCCAGAAACAAAAAACATACCAGAGAATTTAAAGTTCGTAAAGTAACTTACACTAGGTGAGAAAACTTAATTTAGGACAAGTGAATAACCATTTTTTAAAAAGTTCTTAAGTGATGTATAACATACTCCAAAATAAATCTTGGATTGAATGAAGATTTAATTGGGGGGAAATAAAAGTAAAGAAAGTGTAAATCTAAGGCTGGACCAAAGGGGAAGGTTATTAGAGATTTTACTAGAGAATGTTAATTCTTTTCTCATCAGTCTGCAGTTGATGACACACACTGCCACAGTCTTTGAAACCAAGAAAACTGCCTTCTATTATTGTATCCTTGGAGACCTCCTGGGGCCCAGTGTAATTTAGAAGAGGAGTAAACTGAGGGATAAGGAGATTTAGAGCTTTTTAGGGGAGTTTTGTGGGGAGGAGATGGCTTTTCTATATGGACTAGTCTTCTGCCAATTTCCTGACTCAGCCACCTCTCACTGACATTGAAGGGAACCCATCGCTGCTCTCAGGTACTGGCTGAGATTTAACAGGCCTGGGTCCCTCACGTGCCCTCTCAGCACTCTCAGCAGATGGCTCTGAGTTCCAGGCATTGTGATGCGTTCTGGGCGGGGTGCGTTGCTAGGCTACAGTTAACTGTTCTAACTGCCGGTTGGGTGGTGAGCTGTTGAGACCAGGGTTGGCTTATTCAGCACCAGTGCTGTGTAGCGGACGGCAGCAGGGGAGCTGAGGTCTCCTGAAGCCTGAGGCTCAGGCATGCTGAAGCGGATTTTTGACTTCCAGGGTCGGAGGGGCAGGTTGCCTATGGGCCCCTTCAGCGTCCTGCGGAGGATAGGCACCGTGGCCGTGGATGTGGAGGAATCCCGGTACCAAATCCGAAGCAAAGATCTTGGAAAGCTCCACAGGGCTGCGAGCAAGGGCAAAGTAGCCAGAGTAGAGCATATTCTATCTCTGGGGGAAAATGACTTGAATGACAAAGATAAAATGAATAGGTAAGAGGGACTAGGAGGAGGTGGGCAGACACGGGAAAGTGGCACCTTCCCTGGCTCACCTAGGGAGCTGAGCCTCCCTTGTGCCAAGGCTCCGCAGCACCTGAGTCCTGGAAGTCTGATGAGGGGTCCGGCGCCCAGGCCCATTTTCTGAGCAGCAGAGCCAGGCCTACTCATAATTTCCCTTAGAGAGCACTTGACTGACAGTTTTGCAGTGATTTAACTAAACATCAGTAGTAATAGAAAAATGAAGTATAGACAGCATTTTATTTTTAATGTACACATTTTCATACCATATTAGATATTACAGAAAAGTGCATAATGGCATAAAAGTGCCTAACAAAAAGAAATACTGCGTAAAAGTGCATAATGAGAAAAAAAAGTTCTGTGATCAACTGGTAAAAATTCTTTGGGTAAAATCCAATATCCACTTTATATTGGTGGATCCACAGTATATGTTATTTACTGATAGACCTTGGAAAGGAATTTTGAAGTGGGAAAATCTTGAGTAAGAAGATTCATTTCCTCGAAATGTGTGCTTTATCAATTTCACATAAACCAAATAAAAAATAACCATGGTTTTAAAAATTGGGGGTGACATATGCTGTCCCTCTTTTATTACTGTGGTGAAATTTAGAAAACTCTTGGATATTAGACAAAGATTTGCCCTTCTAGATATCACAATGTGCTGTAAATTTCCACAGTGTTCCAATACTAAGAGCTGAAAGACAGTTATAAATGAATGGAACAGAATGGAAAATGACCAAATTCCCAAATATATGTAAGATTTCAGAACTTGATTCTGATAACATTTCATATCAGTAGGAAGAGGTGTATTATTCATAAATGGTAGAGAAATACCTGCTATTTGGAGAAGAATAGCTAGATTTTTATCCCACAAAAATAAGTTTCAGATGGAATTTGCATTACCAGTGTATTTTTCTTTCCATTTAAAAAAAATCTGAGTTCTACAATGAACATGTATAAAAATTGTAGTGGAAGTTTATTAATGAAATAATTCTGTGGGAAAGAAGAAGTATGACTTGCATAGATGAAAATAACTCCCTACTTAAAAAAAATTTTTTTGAAGATTGATAATCTTCTGACAATTTTTATCCTGTTCAGAAGTAAAGGGAATCTTTTTATCTGTGCCTGTAGATTTAATGTATATGTTTAATTATACACATTTCTTATCACATGTAGCCTTATTACATATATGTAAACGATGATAGACCAATTAGTTGCATCCTTGTGAAAATAAAAAATAGCAAGTACAAAGGATGTTACTATTGCAAAAGTTAATAAAATTTTGGGTACGTCCTTATGAAAACAAAATAAAAAATAGCAAATATTACTATTGCAAAAGTATTGCCTTTCTGAAAGTATTCTTTAAAAATACCAAAATCTCCAACTGCATCCATTTTTTCAATCCATTGATTGATTCATCAGGTATAACCTGAATACCTGTTACACAGCAAACATTCTATTCTTGGGATTCTTTCATTCTTCAAGACTTCATGTTGCCCAGGACGAGCAAGATGAGAAATTTTAAATTGAAGTGTTAGGATCCAATCTCAACTGAAGCTTTTCCTCCTCCCTTTCAAACAAAAGCAGTTCTGATGGTACAAAATTGAAAAAGATAACCTTTACCTGCCTTCTTGAAAGTATATAATATTCAGCACTAAATTGATCATTGGAAATACCTGATTTTCATACAACCTATAAATCTAGGTATTAAATAAAATCAGTTATCCCTGTCACTTGCATCCTGAGTCTCCTTTAGCTTGAAGTTTCATGAAAATTAAAATAAGAATTACTTTTAAAAAGTTCTGTTTCTATAGTACTCTTCATGTAAGTGTAGATTAAAGATAAAAAAAAAAAAGAAAGAAAGAAAGAAAAGGGGGATTACTCCTTGATAGGATTAAACTATTGGTAAATCAAAGATCAACGCATGCTTTAAATATCCTTAATGTTGATCACTTAAAGGGTGTCAGATGATCAGCTATGGAGGTACTCTTTTCTGATAATATTCCTTTCTCTTAATAAAAAAAAAAAAAAGTCCCTGTGTGCTGACCTCCAATGAGTTCTGCACAGTGGTATAGAGGGCATGTCAAAGTGTGGGCAAAGGGTCTGTTTGTTTCTATGCAGAAGATCAAGGCCTAGCTTGGATACCCAGAAAATGAACTAAGATACGATATGAGGAGGAGCTTCCGGCATCAGCACTCTCTGGAGGACTTGTGCCGGGGGATGATCATCAAAAAGCCTCCACAGGGATCCGGACGATGCTGCGGTTGTGGCTGCATCCAGCCCACCGTCTCCTGGACTTGCCATA